CCTCATTTTGCTTTACCGGGGAATTGAGTCCCCGTATATTCCAAGTCGCAAATTTTAGCATGATGAAGAGGAATGGTCAAACCCTTGCTCCCCCCGGTTCATATTCAAAGTGTATCTTTATCCATGACTACTTGGTGATAGACAAGATTTTCCTCCCTGTCTAACTTCTCCAGAACTCCATATTTGTTAGGGGCTACCACAGGGTCTAACAGAACACCCCTTCTTGGTAACCGAAAGTTTTTGACCACAGAATCAATAAGAGGGGTAGAAGTAGAACGAGAATGGGAAGAAGAATTGATAGATTGGGAAGAAGAAGACCCAGAACCAACAGATACATTACCTGGATCCTTTGAAGCATTCTTCACAATCTCACCGGTTGGAACAACTTCAGTAGACCCATTATTCCTTATTTCCAACTGATCCGTATTCAAGGTCCTTGCTCTTAAATCCACCGGATGAATGATATTTGGTACATTCTCAGGTTCCTTACCTTTTGCCTTATTTCCAAATTTCGGTTGCCATTGCTTTTTCTCCACTCTGACAAATCCATCTGCATCTTTCCTCCCATCAACTTGCTTCCCTTTGTTCATACTAGGTGCTTTTACACACGAAAAAACTTTATGACCAAAAACCTGACAATGTGCACATTGGACCGGTTCCCATAGATATTCAACTTGGATTTTCACTTTTTCAGCACCACCACCATTGAGATTTGGAATTTCGACATCAATCTGCCTTTTCAACTCTCCCACAACCCAAACCTCTACCAAAACCTTAGCAAAACCCGGCCTTCCCCAAGCTTTTTCACACATTGATGTAGTACAAGCATCCATCTGTTTCGGAACTCCTAATACACTCGCAATGCGGCTGACACCCTCCTTGTTAAAAGCAACCAACGGAATATTATGTAATTTCACCAATAGGGGACAAGAAGAGTGTTCCGGTTTCCTTATCCCCTTAGAGGGATCCCAACGATAGACAAAAAGAGGAATACCTCGTATCATTAACGGCCCAGCTTCAATAACCTAGTCACACCCTCCAACGTCATTAAACTTGAAAAAGAAAATCCCATTCTCATTTAGCATTGCATCATTGAAACCATACTTTCCCCAGGCCGATCGTACAAATTTTTTTACTATAGGAAACGGAATACGAGGGCCCAGAAAGTATCCATATAAAACCGAATGATATGCTTTAGCAGCCTCCTTAGCCATTTCAATTGGAATTTTCACATTAACATCCTTTTTATCAGCCAACGGAAAAAAATTGAGGTCCGTGGCAATCGAATTACCCATCGCTTTCGCATAGTTTAATTTTTCCATACCACTAGAGGTATTGCCTTGAGAAGTAAGTCTATCAAAAACGGAAATTCTACTAGGACCAGTAGTAAAAGGGGCCGAATCATCCCCCATTTCCATCACACACACTAAGAAGCCGTGGTGCTGAAACTAATGCTTAGCACCCTTAATAAGATAGACGAAGACCACGGAGACCGAGGTGCTGAATATCTATCAAGGGTATTCAACGAAAGACCTCGAAAACACTTAGTATGTATGAAGAAACAGGAAATAACTTCACCAAAACAAACCAGCAAGAGAAATAGAACAAAGCCGCAAAGAAGACCAAAACCGAACGAAAACCAAACTCACAGCAGGGACCGTACTCCAACAGCAATAAACTGACAGAAGGAAGAAACGAGGCTACCACAAAACGGACCGCAAATCAACCACCCTTGCCACCAAAAATATATACCAGCAGTTGAATAGCAGCATGTCCGACACAACTATATCAACCTTAACCAGGAACAATCGTCCAGCAAATTACCCTAAGAACCGAAATAATCCAAGCAAAACACAACAGCTACTAGACCAAACACGACAGCCCAGAAAATCAGATGATAAGCAGCAACCAGAGACGAACAGACTCACGGCGCAGCCTTACACCAACAGCATACAGATTGGAAAAGAAACCCAACCAACAGCCTCTTGAGAATCAATCAGCAGCAATAATAGACCAAACAGTAACCAACAGAAACCAAAAGTCAATAGCACACATAAAATAATAGTAGATGATGAGTCTGACTTGCTCTGACAGCAGCACCACAAACAGATAACCAGCAGTAACAGCACCAAACAGCCAGACAGAAAAGAAAACCTACTACCGATTATCAAGAAAAGTAGCTTGCTAGTTCAGAAACTAGAGGAACCAAATCAACCCACAAAAAAAACGTCTTCACAACCAGGCAGAGCCAAACTGAATCACAAACGTAATACCCAGCCACATAAAATCATAGAAAACTGGAACAAGAACCAGCGCCTCCTAACCCTAGCAAGGACGGCACACACTAGGGCCAAATAACAGTGCAAGCAGATCACCAACCCAAACGATAGGCTTATACCAGAATTAAAAAAGAAAACAAACCACCAGATCGAGATCAAAACAAGCAGTCCCAGACCTCCGATCTATATAACAGACAGGCTAAGTGCGGCAGAAACCCTAGCCACAGAAACACAATCGATGCACACACTATTTCGAACAATTTCAACAAATACACAAGAACGAATCTTACCAGCACGAAATCAATCAAAAATCAAAAACAGCCGAGAGGAAGAACCGTCCACATCTTCATAATCAACAGGCCAGGCGAGAAAAAAAACAAATAAACAAAAACGAGACAGCCGTAATAATTCTAAATCATGCAGCCATGCAAACCCAATCTAGATCAAGAGTCAAATCGATCCACAAGAATCAATCCCTTCAACATGAACGCCTTTCTAGAGAGAAAAAGTCAAAACGTGGTCAAAGTTTATTCTCGGTCTAATCAGGTCTATTTCGTGTTAGTGGGTATCATACGCTATTTATCCTTAAGGAATCCAATAGGGTCAAAATGACACAAACTAGCTCATAATTCTCATTAGACCCTAATGGGTATAAGTGCCCCAACTCTCCTTGAGGAGTCTACTGAAAGGGGAATTCCCCAACCAATTTTATAAAGACAAGTAAAAGCGACACCGTTACAAAGCAAATCAGCAAGAAAAGCTACGGCAACTTTGACTCACAAACCAAGCCATAAGAAGCCAAAAATGACAAAGAGAAATACACCAAAACAGAAAATTAAAGCAAACCAAAAAACAAAAGGCGAAAAACACCAACATCTTCCAGAACCGAAAACCTTCATCATCCACAATATCACACGTCATTGGTTCTCATAAATTTCTTCCTTGTCTTCCACGCCATTCTTTGAAGAATCTGCATCTTGATCTCCGCTACAACTTTGTCCCCAGCATGGTTGTAATTGTCAAAGAACTTTCTGTTCCTTTCCCTCCATATATGGTATACCGTTGCCGATATACCAAGTTTTTGAACCGTAGACCAAGAGTTCCACCTTTGAGATAAACCCCTGTTAAGAATATCCTCCCATTTGTTCAGACAATTCTTTAACCCAACYTCCTTTTTAATGACCTCCCAAATATTACTCGAGTAATTGCATTCAAAAAATAAGTGATTGTGCGTTTCAATCACTAATTTACAGAACACACATTTCAAATCCGGAGGCTCATGCTTCCACTGACTGATGCGATCTTGTGTTGGTAATTTATTCTGACAAGCCATCCACATGCAAAGAGCATGTTTAGGTATGTATGCTTTATTCCATACCACATTGTACCAATGCACAATCGGCCCCACTTCTTGTATTGTTTGCCAAGCCACTTTAACCTCAAAATTTTCCCGAGAATGTTTAGCATCAAGCCATCTGACCGTATCCTCAAATTGACTGGGAGAAGGTAACATAATACTTTGCAGCTGTGGATATTGTTGTATCCATTCCACCGGCCAATCAGTGCCAAACCGTTGCATTAGATCATAAACCGTGGAGTTATTATGAAAGCCATGACCATTTATGAATCTGTGAGACAACAAATGAATAAGGGGACCAAATTCACTCCACGTGTCTTCCCAGGCATACGTAGATAAACCATTTCCCACATTGTAAATAAAAAACGTCTACAATGAGGTCTTAAATCTAAAAGGTTCCGGAGAAGCCACGACCATTCATTCCTCTTCTTTATTGTCCAAAAATTTCTGCCTCGAATACAATGAGACTGAATCCAAGAGACCCAAATGGTATTTCTTCGAGTCAGAATATCCCAAATATGTTTGAAAAGTAGGCACCGATTCCAAATCGCTAGTCTTTTCATACCAAGACCACCATTTTGAATAGGTAAGCAGACCCTATCCCAAGAAACTCGACATTTTCCCAGCATACCCTTCGCTTTGTTCCATAAAAAATTACGGAACAACTGTTCAATTTCATGGATAGTGGTTGCCGGTACAAGAAATACCGACATCCAATAGGTTTGCATAGAGTGAAGAACAGAGATGATGAGCTGACGTCTTCCCCCTTAAGACAGAAATTTGTTTTTCCAGTTCAATAATCGAGATTTTAGTTTAAGCACAAGAGGGTTGAAATCACGTACCTTCAACCGAACTGGAGAGAGAGGAACTCCAAGGTAGCGAATAGGAAACACTCCCGGACGAAAAGGTAAGTTGTTGCGAATAAGATTTTGAACATCCAACCCCACATTCCCGAAAAACACTTCACTTTTTTCAAGACTCGGAGACAAACCCGAACGATCCTCAAACAAATGGAGAGCACGTTTTATAACTTCCACTGATGTAGCATCGCCCCGAGAAAATATAAATAGATCGTCCGTGAAACATAAATGGGTCAACTTGATCTCAGCACATCCTTGATGAKACRCAAAATTAGCCTCCTCCTCAATACACTTYGTAAGAAGCATCRATAAACCTTCCATAACCACCGTAAACAAGTAAGGAGACAAWGGATCCCCTTGTYGAAGACCCCGCTTACCATGAAAAAAACCCTCCGGCCKTCCATTAACACATATAGAGAAAGTAGGCGAAGAGATTAGAGACTTTATCCAATTAAGCATAACTGGATGAAATCCCATTCCCTTTAGCATCTCTAAAAGAAACTGCTAGTCAACTGTATCATAGGCTTTCCGAATATCAATCTTAAACGTACACTCTGGCTCCCCTTGAGATTTTTGATAACCAGCTACAAGCTCATGCGCCATTAAAATATTATCAGTTATCTGGCGTCCAGGAATGAACGCAGATTGAGCCTTGCTAATCAGAACATCCAAAGAGCCTTTTATCCGAACTGCAATAATTTTACTGATACATTTCAGCAATACATTACAACAGGCAATGGGACGATAATCAGTAACACATGAAGCATTTGGAATCTTCGGAACGAGGCAAAGCAGTGATTCAACTGGTATTCCAAATTTCCAGAGTAGAAGAAATTATGAACCGCAATGAGAACATCTCTACCAACCACACTCCAAGCCGCTTTAAAGAACTTTGATGAAAACTCATCAGGACCAGGAGCCTTATCATTCCCAATATCAAACAGAGCATCCTGTATTTCCATATCCGAAATTGGCCTGATTAAATGCAGAGAGTCCGCTAACGATAAAGAGTGAACAAACGAGCAATCCACCATAGAAGGTCGAACCAACATACTAGAATTACCCAGAATACCTTCAAAGTGATTAATAAACGCTTTTGGAACATCATGATGCTAAAAAACAGTACCAAAAGAATCCCGAATAGTAGCAATATGGCTCCTATTACGCTTCTCTTTCATAGCATGAAAGAAAAACTTTGAGTTTCCATCCCCTTCATTAAGCCAAGAAATCTTTGCTTTTTGTCGAACTATTTCCATTTGATCATTTCTAGCTTTGATATATGCTAGCAAAAGGTGAGCAATATCCTCTTTCAGCAAATCATTAAACGGGTCTAGATCACAAGCCAATTGAGCAACATCAAGCTCCGTCTTTAATTGAGCCACCATTTTATCCAAACACCCATAAGAATTTCGGAGCTGACGACAAACCCCTTTCATATCTTGCATTTTCCGAAGCACTCTCTTCATATATGAACCTCTCTGAGGTTTCATCCATACCCTCTCCACGGACTTAAGGAAATCCACATGGGAGGTCACAAAATTATCAAACTTGAAACTTCGTTGACGAAGACGCCTACCAGCTTTGAAAGAAAGAATTCCCGGAGAGTGATCGGAGATCCCCCTTGGTTCAAAGAAAACCGAGGCGTCCCCAAACTTCCAATAAAAGCAGAATTTCCCAAAATACGATCTAATTTACGCATTACACCGTCACCCCCAGAAGGTTTCTGCGTCCATGTAAATTGGCACCCATATGTAATATCAAACAGTTCTGCCTCTTCCAGACAAAGATGAAACTCCTCCATATCTGAGTTACGTCTAGAAGAACCACCCAATCCATCATGAGGAAAAAGCATTGAGTTGAAATCACCCATCGCAACCCAAGCTTTCCTTTGAACAAAAACATTAAATTTACCAATATCCCTCCAGAGATCCCGCCTTTCCACTCCCGTATTACACCCATAAACAAAAGAAATAAAAATGGGTTCAAGATGACCAATAAACCGAATTTCACAATGTACATATTGTAAGTGCTGCTCAATCACAATCAAAGACAACACAGACGGATCCCAAGCAATAATAAGACGAGTGCCTTGATCACACATTAACCCATTTGTGATCCAACTCCAATTACCAAATACTCTACCACACACATCCCCCAGATGACTATGTATAACTTTTGACTCAATGATGCAACATAAAGAAAGACGCTTTACATGAATAAGATCGCGTACCTCTTTTTGCTTTATTATGAATTTAGACCCCTAATATTCCATGCAGCGAACTTTATCATTGAGAAGTTGAAGTGAGAATCTCCTCTCCTCTGTTTTCCATAGTATGCCCCTCAGTATCAATTATCTCCATATCATCATCATCACTAGAGTCATCAGATGGTAGTGAAGAAAACCGATTACTAATAGACGGGGCATTTACAGCGCCTCATCTCGGTTTGAAAGCATGGACCACCGCTTTAACAAGCTCCGGACCCCCCTTGGATAGAATTTTGACATTCAAAAGATCATCTCTTCCTTTTGGCGTTCTCCCAGCATCCACCGTACAATATTGACTTTCCACATGTTCCACACCTTTCCCCGCTAAAACTGTAGAAACTGCAGGCTTTATAACATCCGTGCCCGTTTTAGACCCTCCCGAGCCATGCGATACCTCAGTAACCTGTTTTATAGTGCCAACACCAATTAACGTGTCATGATTAACAGACGCCGCACCTGAAGTAGTAGCCTGAGCATCAGTACGAGGTCCATAATTAGTCTTCGGCTTCCAATGTTTTCTTCTAGGTTCTTTAAAACCATCATTATTCGACGATATTACATTATCCTTTGGCTTTTTTATTTCCCCTTTCATGCAAGACGACGTACGATGACCAAAAACTTTGCATTTTGAACATTGGGATGGAACCCACTCATATTCCAAAACCACTTTTATCACATCCTCACCAATACCCGAAAGCCTCGGAATAACAACTTCGATTTGCCTTTGTATCTCACCCACGGCCCAAACATCCACCAAAACTTTTGCAAAATTAGTACGTCCCCAAGCTTTTTCACAAGTGCTAGCAGTGCAAGCATCCAATCGCAAAGGAATACCAATGGCACTTGCAATACGGCTAATACCCTCTATATTGATTGCAACAAGAGGGATGTTAAAGAACTTAATCCATAACCGGCAAGAGGTGTGCTCGGGTTTCTGAAGCCCCTTTGAGGGGTCCCAAGTTGAGACAAATAGCGGCCTCCCTCTAATCATGAGGGGAGACGACTCAACCACTTGATTGCAACCACCATCATCATTAAACCGAAAAAAGAAATAGCCAAGATCATTAACCATAACATCTATAAGACCAAACTTTCCCCATGCATTTTGAACCGCATGAAGGACAATGGGGAATGGAAGGTGTAGTCCCAAAAAATACCCGTAAAGAACCGACTGGAAAGATTTAGCCATACCTCTCGTAGCTTCCAATGGAAAATGGATCCGCGGTTTCACACTCTTCTCAACCGGAAAATAAGTTAGATCTTGCTTGGAAGTACCTCCCACAATTTCAGCAAAAGACTTTTGAGGTATCATGCTCGGCTCACCCATAACTAGAGGAGAGAGGCGTTCCCACACCGAAACCCGGTTATTGGGTCCCATATTGACCCCAACCGTCTTCTTAACACCCCCATGCAAAGGAGTTCCATGCAAAGCGCAAGGAACCGTCTCATCCAGGATTACATCGGCAAAGTCCTGGGAAAAAGGGTCTTCCAAAATCACATCCGCAAAATCAATCTTCTTGACCAAACCGCAGATAATACCTAGCTCACTATATCCCTAGTCAAGAAGTCGTGGTGCTGAATCCCTCGTCAAGCTTTCCCAAAGAAATAAACGAACAGGAAGGTGCTGAATATTCTATCAAGAAACTCAACAAAGGAGACGAAGACCATAGAAACACTTGACACAGGAAAAGTAAACTGATAAAACACACTGCCAACCCACAACCAAAACTCGAGGAATCCCAAAAAACAAATCCAATAGAGAATAATCGACCAATGCAAATAAGATAGCTGAAGTACATACGACTCAAACCTCTAAGAAAACCGATGACAAGCACAAACAGCAAGCCAAATCATGAAGAAGGAACCGGCAGACAGTTTACCACATACAGCAAGCGTGACAGATCTGATCCCAACACAAAAACAGTAAACAGCTCAAAAACATAGAACCAGAATGCCAAAAACCCCTTGCAAAGAACCAGCCTTGAAAACAAAAACTCTCGTAAAAACAGCCGATACTAACAACAGCAGCTAACAGACGAGTAACAATAATGCCAAGCAAAAGGAGCAACCTGCAAAACCAAACAGCTTGCAGAAAACCGACAGCAGCAAACCCCAATAAATTTTTAACAGGAAATCACCACAACACGGTCAAAACCCAAGAACAACAGTTTTCTGAACACTGCAGCTCACCTAAAATCATAAAACTGCACAATCTAGCACCATCAACAGCAGCCAAACCAAACACAGAAAATGAAAACCAAGCAGCAGCAGACCACTAAATAACCAGAAAAACAACAACCAAAGCAGCAGTTGATACCGAAGACGAACAGCAAAAACTTTAAGAGAAAAAACAGCGATTGAGAAGACAACTAGTAGCAGGTTTCACATAAAATCATGGAAAAACAACTACACCAAACCGCACCCAACCAGCCACAAGCAAGGGCAACGAGAAACCCTAGCCGCAGTTGCCTTTGGAAAAAAAACTGAAACCCTAGCTGTCCTTATACAAGGTCGCAAGAACCAAGACAGCCAAACACAGCAACAACCAAGAATAGGGAAACGCAACCAAGCCACAAAACCACGGTTCCAATCCACCAGATCTAAAACAACCCAAGAACAGTGCCTCTAGGATCAAACCCTAATCGAAACTTTAACAAAACGTACCTTAAAAATGATCAAAACATGCAGCAAAAACCCAAGAAATTGCCAAAAGATCAACACAATCTCCAAGGATCAACCAAACGAACAGCAAACAACATCATCATCCTCCTTCAAAGAAGTCGCATTCCTTGAGAGAAAAAGTCAAACCCTAGTCAACCCTAAATCGGCTTCTCCTTGAGGAGTCTAGCTGGGTCAAAATGATACTAAATGAGTCATAATAAGTATAACTAGACGTTAATGCGACTAATTGAGGCATAATGGTTCTTAAGGGTCCTAATTGGTCCATTTGGTCCCAGTAGGTAGAATATGCCTACTTCTTTTAATCAAGTTATTCGTGTCTTTATGACACTAAATGGATCATAATTAATCCAATTGGACCCAAATTGGTTTAATAGGCCCATTTCTTTATAAGGAGTCTAATTGGGTCAAAATGACACTAATTGGGTCATATTTAGTTTGATTAGACATTTTTTTTAAAACAGAAACCAGGAAAATTTATAAACCCATAAAAAGAAGTACAGCGAGTAAACGTTCTACCACAACCACCAAACCAGGAAACCAAAAGACTTGGACATCACCCCGTACCAAGCCACAAAAACCAAAAGGAACAAAGCCCAACAAACTCAAACAGACAACAAAAAATAAAGAAGAGGAGCTTAAAACAAGTAAAAGCTCCACAAATCCAAATACGATCCGCCATGCCAAACAGCATGCCCCGCAGATCTTCTCTCCATCCAAGCCGCCCGAATTGAAATAGTATTATCAATAGCTTTAACAAGTTGCATAGACGACCGTCGATCCGCTGAAAAAAATCTTCTATTTCGTTCCTGCCAAATATAATAAACAGACGCTGCCACCGCAAGTTTCTGCTTTAACCGTTTCAGTCGTCGATTAGATTCCGAAATAGCATCCAAAATTTGATCCCACGAAGAAGGCATATTCATCTAGTCCACAATATGCAAGATGCTATCCCAAACCTCTCGAGCAAAAGTACATTGAAAGAAAAGATGAGAATGGCTATCCATACACTGTCCACAAAGCGAGCATTCCATGTCCGGAGGTTCATCCTTCTAAAGCATACGATCCTGAGTAGGAAGACGCTTCTGACAAGCAAGTCATAAACAGAAAGCATGCTTAGGAATATGGCCTGAGAACCACACCGATTGATACCAAGGTACAACCGGATGAGTCCCCTCTAATAAAGCCCAAGCAGTACTAACCGTGAAATCCAAAGTAGAAGTGCTATCATCCCCCCAAAGAACTTTGTCACGGGCAAAATCATTAAAAGAAGGAAGAGGAGACGAACAAAGCTCAACAAACCTGTTACACCACGCATCCAGCCAGCCTCCGTCCAAGCTTATAAGTAGCTTGCGAACCGTAGTGACCATAGAGAACCCACAAGAATGGATAAACCGGTAGGATATAAAGGCCGAAAGATGACCACAGGTTAGCCACAAATACTCCCAAGCATTAGTATCCCGGCCATCACTAATCTGGGAAAACAGAAAATGTCGCAAA